ACAGTGTCGGTTGGCGACCCCCAGGGGGAGAGCCTTCTCTGTTGGAGCCCCCACCCTCTGGAACGAACTACCCCCAGAGATCCGGGTGATTCCGGATCTCCCCTCCTTCCGCCGCGCCCTCAAGACATGGCTATTTCAGCTGGCGGGACTGGCCTAAGGGGTATTTTAAATTTGGTTTTTAAATAACTTTTTAAAAAAGGTAGATAAGGTCCATACTAATATTTCGTTTTAATTATATTTTAAATTTTATATTGTATTGATTGTCTTGTTTTAAATTGGCTGTAAGCCGCGGTATAAATGTAATAAATAAATAAATAAATAAATAAATAAATTGGGAGACCTGTATATTATTATATATTATATTTCCCAATATAAAAGAGAATGTATTCACTTTCAGGAAACATGACATTTTTAAAAATCTCTTTAATATCTATATACAAATGTCAGATAGATGACTCATAGCATACACATCTAAGCTAAGCTCTGACTACAATGGGCTCTTCACTCTGTTCAAAAGAACCATAAGATTTTTTTCTTGGCTTTGCTCTATCAACCGCTTTGCAACTTACTTCTAACTTGCTGTTATCCAGGCCCGACAAAGTCATTTCCTCCATTTTCATTTGCAACAGCTATCAGAAAAGATGCTGAAAATGCAACATAGTAGAGGCGAGACTGAAATGGGAACAGGTGCCCCTAAATGAAGACAGGCAAAAAGATTCAATTATCACTTCAAGAAAATCTTACTTTCATAATGGAAAACAAAGCAACGAGTAAGAAGTTATGCAGGACAGAAATATTAATGACAGTTTTAATTGATAATGCCTATAAATTGCCAATAATTTTGAAAAATGCGCTTTGGGTGAGGATTGAGAGCCATTTTTGAAAAACCATTCTTGAATATACCATGCTTATAAAACCTATTTTATAAGTAGCCCTTGCCACCAGCAATTTTTGGAAGTATTTCTCAATTTTTAATATAAGTTCTACTACCTCATTGAGAATTTGGTGGAAACCATATTCCTCTGCCTCCCCAGTTGACAGAGCTATTGCTATGGTGTGGTAATGTATTAATGGGAAGGAATTATGGCCTCCTGCACAGGGCTCAGCCTCTGAATTCATGTAATCCACCAAACTATTGTAGATGGTAACTTAACAAGTTCCATGTTCCTGAGTATCTGCTGAGGGCATCCATGACCTCTGACTACCTGACAAATTCCTGGGAAATTAATCAACCTGCCAGATTGCCATCCTCTCTCACTTGTTGATAGCAGTGCAATATAGATATTCATTCATTGTTCTGGCATTGCTTTGTGTAGAAAGAAAGATGGGCTATAAATCTTATTAGAGATTTATAATGTAAATATACCATGTTTCTTTTTTCCCTCCACTTTGTAAAATTTTATGGTATTTTGTGGAAACAGACTGACACATGCCAACCTATGGCCTTAAATTCTCTTATCCAATGGTTATTCCAACTACCAGCCTGGCTTCTGAGAGATACAAAGTATTAGAAGTTGTCATGTTCATATTCCACTATTCAATCTTCAGTCAAAACGCAATGCAGGACTTAACTTATTATTAGCTTGGAGGAAGTACATGTTCCTCTCTTTCTTAGCAGTGAACTATATTAACTACATTCTACCCACCCATCCATATCATAGTGCCATCCAATTGTTATGGCTTTGATACTTTAACTTTCTCAGTAAGATCTCATATTTAGTGTTAAATATTTAAAGATGTGCACATATATTATCTTGTTACAGCCTTCCAAATGTTCTATAACTACAACGATCAGTTGGTTAGGTATTATGGGAATTGCAATCTAGCATATCTGAAAGGCATGAGATTAGGGAATGTTGTTTTACATTTTAGGTAGGTAAGAGGAGCCAGAACTTAGAAAGTATATACCGTAAATAGCTTCCAAACATGACACCAAACCAAGGAATTATTCATATGTAGCTCATTCTGAACCACTATACAGCTTTTACCATCCAAGCCCCATTTTTCAATTTTCCACATCCATTATGAATCTAATAAAATCGGTGTTCCATTCCGTTCTTTGCCAGAATACACTGATTACAAGTTTTTGCTACATAGTTAATCTTTCTGGAATTGATAAGACATTTGGAATTTTCCCAGGATCTGACTATATTTTCAAATCTCTTGCTAGAGAAACCTCTAAAGATGGCAAAAAAGCACCCCCATAGATATTCAAGTGCTGAGAATGCAAACACCCAAACTAATCAATATTTTTAAAATGAATTGGAACTGGATAAGGATAGAGGTGTAGAAATATTCACAATTCTTAAAGAGCAAGAGAAAGAGAGGGGAGTATATTTTAGTGGCCTAGAAGTCTCCATTTTATTTTTGGGAAAAATTGATCTACACACATTTCACAAGAGTGATGCCTACTGAAAACTCAGACACCAGATAAATTTATGAGTAGTATTCAGTGCTTCAGATAGGATTTCAGGATCTATAACAAGCAAAACCAGAATAAAACAAATAACAGGAAGAAATACTAAGAATATGACGTATACATATAACCAAATCCAATGTTCTTGGAAGCGGAATCTATTTTAAGGAAAGTACATTTTTATAGCACTGGCTAATGAAAACACTGCTACCTTAATCCTGGAGGATCTGCATACCAGCTCATTACAATTTAATCTATTTTGTACTGGTCAGATCTGGGGCATGGGGCAATAGGTTAACCTATTTCTTTGTGCAAAAATAGTTGGCCTAAATAAGAACAAAGCAGATTGACCATTTATTAAGGACAGTTTCCATAAGGTCCAACACTCCATCTCCAGCTTCAACAATTGCTATCTTCACAATGGAATGGAAAGGGAACAGAAAAAAAAATACGCTAAAAGGATAAAAAATATTTGCAACACTTCAAAAAGGAGAGGGCACAAAGTAAACTGACAAAACAAACTGATCCCATCCAAAGATATAGGCACTTCATCTTTAGAAACATTAAAACTGCATTCACTGAGAGTATGGACAGACCGCACAGATGTAAGGTAAGCGTTCCATAAGCGTTCCAAACAGCCTCAAGAAGTAACTGTCAGATTGAGGTGAGGCATTTGTCAAATGCATGCAACAGCAAGAAAGAAAAACAGAAATCTGAAAATAATCTGTTTGATGGCCTTTCCAAATCAACACCTTCATCCACCATCTTGCCTTACCCCTCTTGAGCTCCCCAGCACACTTCCACAGAAACTAAGATCCACAAACAGCTTTCTCTTTTTTTTTCTTTTGAAAAATACCAGATTAGATAAAACTGGATTGTAATCTAGCTATTTCTAGGATTCAAAAGTTTTTGCTGACTCCCGTTTCTCTTTTTCTGAGATTGTTCAGACACCAATCAGAAGTTGTATCCTTTTGTAAATTGGCGTAGAAGAAAAATCTCGCAAGCTTGTGTGCTGCACAGTAAAAGCTTAGCTAATATGGAGCCCCCAGAGCAGAAAAAGAGGCAATCTACATTTCAATGGTTTTGAAGGGGAGGGATGAGGAGAGAGGCAGAAGCATCTATATCAGGGGTAGTCAACCTTGGCTCTTTTATGACTCGTGGACTTCAACTCCCAACATGGCTGGCTCAGGAATTCTGGGAGTTGAAGTCCATGAGTCATAAAAGAGCCAAGGTTGACTACCCCTGATCTATATTAATGAGCTCTTATCTACTTTTGAAAAGAGAGAATGATCATGTAAAAGCTTAGGTTGAAATTGTAGATCAACAAGCTCAGATGGGGAGCTCACAAATCAGCTATGCATTGTGTTAATAAAAGAATTGGGGTGTCTGTCCCTCTCTGTGTGTGTGTGTGTGATAAAAATATACATGGGATAAAAAAAAATTCTAACATTAACATACATGAAAGACAGAACCATTGCATCACTGATATTGATTAGTGCTACTCAAAACCTCTCTTTTCTTCTAAGAATTACATGATCCAAAAATGCATCTTTAAAAAAAATTGTATTCAAATTCTCAGGCAGAGGTTTTACATACTGGTATGTATAACTCATGGCTTTTTTTAACATTGCAATGTCCTGTTTTACAGGACATTTAAAATGAGATGCCAACTAATAATGTAATCTATGTTTACTACATCATTGCAAGGTTAGAACCTTTTAAAAAGGGGTGTTGGCTTTTAAAAATCCCCCATGGGGGGTTAGATTGGCACTGAGAAATGAGAAAGTAATCCATATACACATGAAAACACTGCACAAAACTGCCTTTTCTCTAATATAAGGGAGTTGTCATCTGTAGTTGATAGACTAAAAGATACAAATAAACCAGTCTCTGTCTCGCCTCTTACACACACCCTATATTGTGATGGATTTGCTCAAGAGAAATCCATCCCTTAATCTTTAATAGAGCTAGCTTACAAAAGAATGGATGGACTTGCAAAGCTTAGTAATAATTTCAAAGTTCCTTTGGCACCCCATTGTTGGGGAAAGTACTCCTTTAACACCAGATGCAGCCTTCATTTGCTTAACAAAGACAAAACAAAACCTGGACATTATAGATACTCCAGATCTAATGCTTCCCTGTAGCCAGCCATCTGGAATCACCCTCCCTTCATCCTGGACACTGTATCCATTCCTAAACTCAGCTGCCAAATAGGAAGTTGTCCATTTGGAACACTAGAAGACCACTAATGTGAGGACTGTTCTGAATATCATTGAATATTTACAATACCATAATGAGAAACAGGCAGCTTTAATATTCCTAGATGCAGAGAAGGCCTTTGACAATTTAAATTGGACTTTTATATTTAAAGTCCTGGAAGAAATGGACTTTGGAGAGAGCTTTATTCAAGGAGTTAAATCTGTTTACACATCACAGCAAGCAAAAATTGTTATTAATGGTGATTTAATTGATCCATGTGACATTCAAAAGGATACAAGACAAGGATGCCACTTATTATTTATTTTGGTATTGAAAGTTTTAAATGAAAAGAGAAGTGGAAAAAAATTTGGAACTCTAATTTTATATATGGTTGATGGCAGCAAGATTGTTCTATGCACAAAAAGTGGAAGGATGCCTCGATTCCTATCATGGACAAATGATTACAAAAGCTGATGGAATTAGCAGAGATGGACCAAATTGACTGTGCTGATAAAAGAAAAGAACATAAGCACCTTTGTTTGAATTTGGAAACTGCTTCTGGACTTTGTGCTTGAGGTGGAAAAAAAATGACATTATGATTTTGGGTTTTACCGATTAGACTGATTTGCGGATACAGAAATGGTTAGTGCATACTACTATAGAAATGTAAAAAGTTGAGATTGGATTTTAATGTCTGATTTTACTACAACAAAGAGTCGGAAGTCAATGCCTTTTGTTTCTTCCCCTCCCTTTCTTCACACTTTTTTTGTTTTCCCTTTCTCTTTTCCCTTTCCCTACTGTTGTCCCCTACTATTTGCTTTTCTATTTTCACATTTTATGTTATAAATGAATAAAACTAATAAAAAAAAACTAGAAGACCACTTTTTTCATCACCAAGACTACATAATGATGGTCAGTTTTACCATCTATTTGGGCCATTTATACAACTTGAAAATAAGGAAGAATTAATCAAGTTCTTATTTAAATTGGCTATTTATTGTACAGCATGTCTTGAAGCCTAGCTTTCACTTCCAACCGCCAGTCCTGGGCCTTGGTATCTCATTTTTAATCTCCCTCT